TGGATTTATATCTCTTCAAAGAGACATCCCAAAATCTTTCCGCGCTTTTCTATCTTTAGACGTCTAATCGAGTCTCATTGTAGACGTCACGGAAAGGCGTTCGCATCTTTTTTTTTATTTGAAGAGAGACTGTTTTTATGAAATGTTCCTTGTAGAGAGATCGATCTCGAAAACATTATTATTACGAGCGCGCTTCTTGTCGTCCGCTGCTCGGATGTACTGATTATTACCATCATGTAGCTGGATTTGTACCGATAACGGACCATATTTCCGCGCCTAGTCCTTGCTCGCGATCGGACCTCGTGCGAATCTGAACACCTGTCGGCGACCACCAGGTAACGTGACATCACGTCACGTGATGAGCCGGCGAACTGGCGAACGCATCCCCGAACCCGCCTCCGACGATTCCAGCGGTAATCGGTCTAATCGACATCCCTCGGACGGCTCATGACGTACGTGCAAATATCCTTTGTACGTACATTAAGGATTTGTGAGCAGGTAATTTTTTTATTTCGCGTAGATTTGCCGCACTCAAGTGAGTGTACTCTTCTTCTCGGGACATAACATTGTAGAACTTATATTGAAGAACTATATGTGTGTGTGTGTGTGTGTGTGTGTGTGTGTGTGTGTGTGTGCGCGCGCGCGCGTGTGTGTGTGTGTGCGTGCGTGTGTGTGTGTGTGTGCGTGCATGCGTGCGTGCGTGCGTGCGTGTGTGTGTGTGTGTGTGTGTGTGTGTGTGTGTGCGCTCGCACGCAAGAGCAGTCCTATTTTAATGCTTTTACATTGATATATTTCGTGTCAAATGCTCACGATAATATTGCCCAAACTTTACACGAAATGTCACGTGAATTGTTGTTAGCACCCTCCCCCCCCCCGTACCAACCCTGAAGAGTTTACAGGCATTTTCGCACGCAAAAATTTCCTCGCACGAAACAGAAGGAAGTCACCTCTTACGCATCGTAAACGTGCCATATACGATCGTTGTCATACACCTCAGGAACAGGACAGGGCGGTATCCAAGGTGGTCGCGTGTCTGGCCCCTTAGTCTCATTCCGCTTTCACCCTCTCACCCCAATACATGAGGAAGCACGGATTCTCCTTTTATCCTCGCACGAAGTCACGTATCGTGACGCCCGTTGTTTCACAACTTGGGCAAAGTTATCTCATCAAGTCGTCACGAGGACGCTTCCCTTCCCTTCGCTTCCCTTCTTCTTTCCCTCTTTGGCCCTACCTCTCTTCCTCCAAGTCCTGATTAAACTTTTCTTACTTTTGCGGCTCCGCCGGGTATTTATAATCTCGCGCTCATTCCGCGCCCACTCACAGCCCACAGAACCGCAGAATCGTTATCAAGACTTAACTAATTAGCGGTGTTTCGGCGGAAAAATTCATCAAAGTATCTACGATACGGTACGATTTGCTTAATTATAATTCGGCGTTTAATTTTCGAAAAGTTATTGGATAGTAGTTTAATTGATCGCGAAAAAATTCCATTTATCTATGATTATCCATTTATATATTATATATAGATAAGTCTTTTTCATTTTCTTTTCGTATTGTTCCTTTATTAATTGCATATATTCAATCAAAATATAACGGCATTAAGTTAATGCAAAGATTCGCAAGTAGACTTCAATGCCTGCGTTCGACGTGTTACCTGCCACCGAAGAAAGAAACGACTCATAGGTTTATAGGCCAGTATTTACGATCTATTCTTATTTTAAGATTGTCTTAAATAATAATGTAAAGTGCTAATACAGTTCTGTAATTGGCTGACAACATCTTAGGATTGTACTTAGAACTTTAAGTCTTAAATGTATGAGCCGACTATTAATACTGCAAGCCTTAGAGTTCGAAGTTTAAATTCTCATTTTCGAGAAAGGATAATTATTCAGATAAGAGTATCTACGTTGTAATTAAGTGCGGATAAATAATCATAGCTGAGAAGAGGTAGTTGGCGAACGAGAAAGAGATCATCCAGTTTTTTTTTTCGGATGACGTGCTTCAAGCAACGTTACATCTATAAGAGGGGCACCAGGGGTCTTTTCATTTAGACTATTTGCCCCCGTTGGAACACGGCAACCCATCCACAGCCCTTCAGTTCCCAGGCCGTTGGCAAATTGCGACTTACCGGGCCGGCACCGTTATTCTTATCCTTCTGCGCACTCGTCCAGGTAATTCTTGGCCGGCCCGGCTATGTTCTTATCAGAAACGGCGCGAAACAACAAGCGGAATTGCTCACACCAGCGCCTCGTCGTCCCTCCGTCGAGGAAAAAGTGGAGCGTGGTGCCTGCCAAGTCCGATTCGCACCGCCCGAGTCTTACCTTTTCGTCCGATTCACCTGTGCTTTGCTCGCATAATCTTATTTTTAGCACGAGCTGTTTCTCGTCATAATAATGACTGTTATATGCAAGGGAGATTGAAGGGTACAATTTGTAAATTTTTATTTTAATAATACAATTAAGTGTTATTAACTGCGTGTGTAATGGGTTTCAATAATGGGTATATCTAGACAAATTGGAAGCTGAAAATTATTTTCTTCTCAATTATTTTCTTCCCAATCTCTAATTTATTTCGTAACAATTACTGCAATCTTTGAGAGATTAAAAAACGATAAAAAATAATACTATATGTTAAAAATAATATATTAATATATTCGTGATAAAATACAAGGATATCTCTTCTTATTTAAAAATTTTAGAATAAAGACATTTTTTTCAAATATTTTCGACATCATACACAGATTGATGGGGGCATGAATGGAATCTTTTCATAAAATCCCAAAGCATGAGGTGGGGGGGGGGGAGAGAAGAAATTACGATGTTGTTAAAGTAAAAATAGTGCGATAGAGTATAAAATTTTATAATTATCTAATCTATCGTGTGTATAAGTGTCTATTGCATTCATGTTCGCAGAATGGCGATTTGTAATTTGTACACAGCATGAGTACCTATAGTATCTAGTAGAGAAAGCCGAGGAATACATCGATAACGTGCAAAAACACTTCCGCGTACAGCGTAGTCACGTTCACTGACTGCCCGTTTATTAATATTTCACATATGCACTCCCGATAACCTACGTCAGGTCGGCTGCTCCTCCTACTTTTTTCTCTATACACTCTATTTACGCCCCTTGACCGACGCACCTTCTCGTGGCGTTATTTCGATTGCGAATCGATACAGGGACCGCGAATCCTAGCGAGGAAGCTTTATTAGACTCGTACCTTTATTAAATCTTTCAAAATTAACATAACAGAGAGGAATTTGAGCAAAAGCTCGCTTTCAAAATTGGAAATTTCAACATGCGCGGTTTCAAATCAAGTATTAAATTATTAAATTGTATAATTTAAATATTTATGATAAATTATATTGTATTGTACAATATTACATTAAACAGATAATAATAATAACAGTAATAACAATAGATCCAAAAATTAAATCTAGTGATGTAAATGCCAATATGGGTCAAAACAGAATATCAGTATGTGATACAATTGAATCTTTATTAATCAAAAGTAGTAAATGTTTCGACCCTCGCTTCGGGTCCTCTTCAGTAGATAAAATAGTGATAAAAGAAGAATAGTTAGCCGCATTACGAAGGATCACATTACGAAGATTGTGTCCAATATTATCCAGAGATGTAGCCAGATAAATTGAAATACTACACGTATGCAACGCGAATCCTTCTAATTTATATTGCAGTGTGCAGGGTTTCTGTATCGTTCGGTTAAATGACTATGATCGCGTACTCGTGTATCGTCTGGCGCGAATGGTTTCTCGCATATATGACAGTGCGTTGAATTTTTCCCAGTCATCTTGCGTAAAATCTGCCATGAGTACATTAGACGAAATTATAGATTGTACACTATGTGCTAACTGTCCAAGCGAATCATGCGATGCAATCTTTATCGCGAAAACATACAATGATATTGTCGTAAGAACAATGCACGTATTCGAAGCTAAACATGTTATGATGTTGATACCTGTACATAACTGATTCAGGGTTCCTATCCAACTTTTCCAAAGCGCACTCTAAGTCGGCGTAGACAACGAATGGGATGCACTCCTTTCTGCAATGGTTGCCGAAACTCAATCACTTGTCATCCTCGTTCGATAGTCTGATCGCACAATCATTCAATTTTTCACAATCTTCATTGTGAACCTCCAATTTAGCGCTCGAGCTGAAGTAATGCAGACATCTGAAAAAAAAAACGCACATTTATTATATTATATTACATTATATTATATTATTGTACATTAATATTATATATATATCGTATATATATCGTATATAATATTTAATATATTGAGAATGATGTGTTTTCACGTTAGGCGAGTTTTTTAATTCATTGGTTGCGTTCACAAGCAGAACACAACAGTTTTGCAACCGTTTTATGATTCTCTACTGAGATAGGACCATTTCTCTTGATTTAAAAGCATAACCTAATCAGTACGAAGAAAACTTCCAACAGTTTCCAAAATAAACGTTCTGCTGAACGCAGCCATTGATTGATCAATCTCATTATACATAAGTGTAGCTTTTACGCAGCAAAGTTGTATTTGCACATAATGTGACTGATTATAATCAATAAATTAAAAACTCGCCTATACGATTCTTGAAAGAATTTTCTCTTCTGAAACTTCAGAATGCTCAGACACATACATGTCTTAATGATATTTTCCACTAACCTTTCGAATAGATTAAATTGACAATGAGATGAATGCTAGACAAATAGAAAAAAAAGTCAATGCGATAGTCGATGAAATTCTTAATGAAGATCAGGAAAACGATTTCGATGCGACACGAGATAAAACTTGTCTAGGAGATTGCGAGAAATTAGATGATACGCCTAAGGAAGTAAATTAGCGCAAAGAATATCTTTTATTCGTTTAATAATACAATTAGTTTAATCATTCGTTTTTAAAGTGTTAGCCAATGAGATCTTAAGATCTCATTTTATATAAAAAAATTATATCACAAGTCAAATCTATATTTTTTTGTATATCAGTAAAATATTATACAGTCAAATATGTAGGTTATTCGAGAATATTATAGATATTCATGAAATAGCTTAATGCATGTCGTTATCAATTTTGATGTTAAATTGAATCACATTAATCGTGACAGTCTGTTATATTCGATTACAACAAAGAAGACTGAAGTCTCAAGAGACAGAAAATTTCTTTCATCACAAATACTCCGGCAATGCAAATGCGGCGTGGAGACTTCGTTGAGATTCTCGCTGCGCGTGATGGAAGCAATGCGCTTGTTGCAGCGCGACATAGACCAGCCGTCCACGTCCAGCGCCGAGGAGATCGCCGACTATATCCGGTCGCATTATCGCTACAATGGTGACCTTTATGCTCAGGTGCGGACCGCGCTGAGACAGGTCTGTTCTCAAGGGTTAGTTCTCAGCGTCGCTTCGTCGAAGGTCAAATGGATTGGATGAAATACATATCTCATATGAAATTACGTGCACATTTTCTATTTTTATTATTTTACATTAAATTATACTTTTATACATATAAATTTAATCCTTTGGTGTGAAGAGTAATAATTAATTATTACTTATTAAACACTTGAACAACAATACTTAAAATAAGTAATTAATATTACTATTTTTCAGTATTAAATTGGATTTCTATTAGGGAGTAATGTATACATATACATATATATTGTTATTATAACACACCTCTGATGAAAATTTTTTTCAGAATATTTTATATAATTTTTCAAAATTTTTATATAATTTTTCAGAATTTCTCTATAATTTTATAACTTTCACATTTTTTTATATGAATTGGAACATTTCTCAGAAAATTTACATCTTTTCTCAGAATTTTTCATAATGTTAATTATGAAATATCGTAAGATTTTTAAGATTTTTTTATATAATTTCTGATGAAATGTTGCAAAATCTAAAAAATTTTAAAATACTTTTCAAAAATTATGGGATAAGAAATTTTAGAATTTACTTGTGAATAAGAAGTTCTGAGAGAAAATGTAAACTTTCCGAATATTTCTGAGTATTTCTGAAAAATATTCCAATTCGCATAAAAATTATAAGAAAAATTTTCACCAGGGATTGTTTCTAAAATATGTATGTTATACAGTTTAACAAACTGATATTTTTGTCTTTCTCTCGATTATGGAAAGACACAATCGTGTTTTTTACAAGACAATATTTTTCACTGTTATTGCGCGATTTATCTTGTTACCAGGCTGTTCATTTATCGACCGATATTTCGATGCTAATTATGTATACGGCAGATTTGTATGGCGCTGTATATATTACATAAAATTCTAGCGTTTGAAAGATACGATTGTAAAACTACAATAGAAGATGACAGATATTCACTTGATCCGCAAAACTGCAGCCAAAATGCTAAAGAATTTCAATATTTTATTGTACATAAATAAATATTAAATAATAAAATAAAGACAGCTCTAAATAGATTTGATATTTTTTCTTCTTTTTTTCCTTGGTGTTCTAATAAATAGTATGCTTCCATAGTTTTAGAAATAATAGCTTATTAACAATTTGATGATACAGGTATTCTTTCTTACCACTCAATTTCTTAAAAATATTTTTCACTGTTTACTATAAATCAATAACAATCACAACATAATAGATTTGTCATAGAATTATTGAACAACGAGTATCACTTGATCGGCCCCGTTGTTAAACCGATAAAATGGAATGGCTGTTCCTTGGATTGCAAAGGTCGCATCATAGAAGGTACATCGAGAAGACGTAAAAAAATCGATAATCAGAGAAATAATGTATGTGATTGCGAACGATTTCCCAAAAGTCCTCGTCAAAATCTAAAATCGCCACGCGAGGAATCTCACAGGACTATCATTCTCGATTCGCAACCAATTTTTCATTCAACCAGAATATCAACTAATGAAAGAGATGATGCGGATCGTCGCAAGCAGTTTGATGCCGATGTTTCGGACATCCAAGATTATCGACGACGTGACAATTACGCGGAACCGATTCCCGGACCTTCCAGAAAAGTCTTAAGGATTCCTTCGCCAGATTCAGCTAAAAATGCGAAAAAAGCGCGAGTGGAAAATCAAAGAGTGGAACGCGCAGATGAGAAAGAAGATGAAACTACGATGAAAGAGAAGGATATGGACTGTATTTGTAATGCCGAAGTTGTCATTCGAGATGAACTTTCAAGGATCCGATCTCCTCGTCCTCGCGTTATCAGGAACGGACGTCGTCGCAATGACGCCAAGGAAGATGAAGAAGATATAGAAGAAAGAATAAAAGATGACGAAGAGGATGAAGACACAGAGGATAGTATATACGATGAATTGAGGGCACGAGTTCCTCAAAGAAGAACTGCGGCACGCGAACGAGAACTGAGAAGGTGGATCCGACAATGTCGTAAAGAATGCGAACGACGGGGAGAGCGATAATGCGAGTTGAAAATTTAGGATTGTATAAATATATTTTTAATAGCTCGAGAAAATGAATGTGATTATTATTTTTCTTTATCTTGATAATTAATTCCATTAGTTACTGCAGGAAAATAAAATTAATATATATTTCCGATTCTACTTGTAAGATTCTGTTCTTCTACACAATTTTTAAACATATTAGATTTTGAAATAAAGAGTCTTATGTAAATTTCTTTGTTTAATATAAAAATTTTTTGTGTTTAACACAAAATTTGTTGCATTTATAAATAAAATGTATACATATACGTGCCTGTTAAATTTTTAATTAAAAATAATAGAAATATAAAAATATAATCTCTTTTCTATTACTGGTTTTATTATTTACATTTTTTTCATTTTTATTTATTTATATTTAATAAATAATTAAAGTATAAAAATAGCATTGCAAATATTACGAAACCATGTCTTTTGATGATTGAATTTATTACGATCGAGTCTGTCAATCTTACACAGAATGTTCAATATCGCTAGTCGCAATATTCGATGAATCTTCATTGTCGCATTGACATGAATCTTCATTTTTCGCGTTTCTTCATTGTCTTTTTTCTTAATAGAACTCCTACCTTTCGTGAAACACGCAGCATGTTTTTCCGTAAATCGATTGGGATTAACAATCCAGATTGCAAACCATATATAAGTGCTTCCCGTATGTAGAATTTTGCACGTCTTCGTTCTAAGAAAAGAAATCAAACAGTAACAATTAATTTATATTTTATTTATTTCTATATTCTTATCTCTTCTTTTTTTCTTCTTGAAAATTCTGAAAAATTTTATTTCATAAGCAGAACAAATTACGATAACGTCAAAATAACGTTAAAATTAATTATTACTGATTGAAAAGTGACTTTTAGTAATCATTTTGATGCAATTTAATGTCATTTTAATGACTATGTTCTATTTGTAATAATTCTACAAATTTATGTCTTTTTTTAATATCAAGCTAGATTCAATTGCTGAATATTAAAATGAGTTCTCTGATGAAAATCAAAATCGGAGTCTAAATCGAATATAATGGGAAAGTAACAGAAGAGAGTAAACTTCTAGAAGGCGAAAATTGGAATATAAAAGAAGTATTTATGCTTCTTTTAGGTGTTGATGTTTCAATTTTTGCTTCTTAGAAGTTTCGTTTACGCTTCTGTTACTCTCCCATTACATTTGACTTACGCTTCAATTTTTATTTTCACCAGGATTTTTATGTACCATTGCGAACAGCTTTTGTATAATCGGTGATACATTCTTTCGATGAGCTTCTAGGTGCTCTTTTAAGGATATTTTTATTTGTGCGTGATCGAGACCGCTCGCCATCGTCACTAGCAATTTCTTCGTCGAGATTTGTATGAATTGTCGCCAAGTCATGTCTATGAATATCTTTCTTTCTCGCGTGTCGCTTATTGAATTTATTACACGCACAGTTTCGCTGTCTCTCCTTTATATTCTGGTTGGCGCATTTGTCCAGATATTTGTACACCAAATCGAATACTGTCGCTTTTTCAATGTCCTGTCGGGGAAAATATTCCTTGTCATAATGTCGCGCCGAGACAGGTGACCTAATTAGGAGAATAATGCAAATTACAATAAATTAAGTTAATTATTATTTTACAATTCTCATCATTGTATGTCATTTTATTTCACAGCTATTTAATTAATGCTGTGACATAATTGTTGCATGATTGGTTATCTAGTCTCGTAGGAAAGAAACGAATGAACTTTTTGATCAATCTAATATTTTCGTGTCAACAACTGATTAACGTATGCTGACCTGTATGCACGATCAAACGCAACGCGATGTCGGCGTATGCTTTTTGGATGAAAAAGTTCCCGATCTCTGGCCATGGCACAATTTAAAATTAATATACGACAGTGTCATAAATTAGAAATCAATTTGTACGTAAAAATTGCAAAAGGAAGACCAAAATTTTATAGTTGCATGAAACAGTCGTTCAGTCGTGAAATAGTATTTTGTTTTATCTCTGTTCTGCATTCACTTTCTATTTATATAAATATGGGAGGACATGGCGAGAAAAGAAAAAAAAAATGAAAGTGTAGATAGAGAATTATTATGACTTTTAGTTTACATCATGCGCTTGAGGTACTATAACTAATAACTTTCTATTGAATGATTTTAATTGTAGCGATACGTTGAAATATATATCCCAGACAGTACAAAATATTAAAAGATAACGAAAAGAGATCTTTTTTAAATTGTCTTTCCGACAAAGCGAAAAGGTATCTAAAAGATGATGAAAAGACATTGTGTTTAGATTGTCTTTTTAGCAAGACCAAAAGATGTCTATGAGACATATTTAGTTTTGTTGAAAAGAAAAATTTAAAAAAATTAATTAACAACTTAAAAAGACATCTTTTCGTGTCATCTTTCTATGGTTGTCATTTTCGCAAAATAATAGATCAACTAAAGATATATTTTCCATATTGGCGAAAAGACAACATAAAATATATCTTTCCGTTATTTTGGTACTTTTTATCACTCATTCACGAGCAGTACGCGAGATTGCCACCAGATGGACGCGAGATGGAGTTCAGTGTCTCGTGTTTGAAAATTATACAGGACAGAATAAAAGGTATAACATTATGAGAAATTTTACTCGTGTTCTAATGAACATTAAATTTTTTTTTGTAATCGAATTCTCAAAGAGAACTAATAATGAAAGATAATCACTCTTGCACATAGGACACCGCAAACACGAAATGAGACGTATATTAATTGTCAGTCAGGCAATTTTATTTCGTTTTATGTAAAAATTAATTTAGGAATTTGATGTTATATGTATCAAAATATAAAAACTTAAAGAAGTATTAAAGACGATCAAAAGATATCCAAAGAAGGTCATCCTTTAGTTATCAGGATAAGGCCCGGTTGCACCAATGTTACTTTGATTTTAAGTGATACTTAAAACTCTCTCTATCTCATTTTAAGCAAAAAAGAGATAGAGACAAAGAGAGTTTTCGTACTTAAAATCAAAGTAACGTTGGTGTAATCGGGCTTAAGACATATAAGATGACTAGTAGTGCGACATCTGTCGTCTTTTAGTCATCTTTTAGACTATTTCGTGCTCTCTGGAATGATATGTGTATTTAATCATTACGATGTATACTGTATCAATTTAGTACATCATTCTTTAAATATACTGCTGAAATTAAAAATAATTTAATAGAAAGTTACTAGTTAGTACTATATCAAATAAACGATGTAAACTATGAGAATCAAAAGAATATTATTCTTTTTTCGTTTGTTTATATTTTATATTTTATCATGGTCGGTAAAAGAGAAATTTTTAACCTTACATGGTAACTAAAAAAATAACTGCGGTTAATAGAACAGAAATCATTCTTATTGTTAACTGAAAACACAAAATGTTAGAGCTAAAAAGTGATGTAGCGTCTAATAGATTATTATATGTCAGCATTCTCAGAAATAAAATTTCTAAAAAAGATATTTGCAACAATTTAAAACTCAGCAAAGCGTATTTCGCATGCTTGCTTTACCATAATTTATCGTAGAAATTTTATATATTAATTAATAATTAAATAATATGTATAATCATGAAAGAGATTAATTTTATTTTATTTTTAAATTTTTTGATTTACTCTTATTAGTATCATTTTGTGCTGTCAAAACTTATAGCGGTTTCGGCTGGGAACTCCCCCAATACCAGAATATATAAAATTTCTTAAAATAAGAAACTCCAGCAAACGAGAATGGATTGAAATTTTTTTCTATCCGAATGCGTATTTTAAATAGCGAATACTTTTTTTTTGAATTTAATTGGATTCAATTGGATGCATTTGGATTGAAAAACTGCATTTCCAAAATTTTGAATTGAACAGTATTCACAATTGTGTTTGTGTGCACAGAAAAAGCTAATATTATTTTTAAATTGAAAGGCATAAAAATATGCTCTATGCAATTCCTATAAATGAATAAAAATTCAGAATTGAAAAGCATTCATTTTAATATTCGTGAATCAATATTTCTGAAAATTTGAACCCATTTCAATTCATTTCAATCCATTCTCGTTCGCTGGGGAATTAAAGAAAGTAGTCATAATCTTATATTATTTAAACGTGGATATACTATGTCAGGTGATCCTAGTATTAAAAGAATTAAGAAGTTTCCAAAACTTCCATTCGCCATTTTTGACTGTTTGCATCATTCACGATTTTCGAGAAATCTATTCGGTTTGACCGAATTTTCATTTCCTTTTTTGAAATACAATTGATCACGTTTATCCTGATCACAGGAACTAGGACCAACCGTTAACGAAGAAAAAGAAGAATAATGTATATTGTGATAATTTATACAAATTTTATTGCGATAGCTTCGTTTTCGAGTAATACGAGTAAATATATAAATATATAAAAAAACAACGTAAATATTAAATTAATAAATTGTAATTTAATACACATTCGATATTAGAGATATAGAGATATAGAGATTTATGTTTCTAACCTAAAACTCGCTGTAAGCTGATTACTGATTCTACAATGAATCAGTAATCGAAAATCATAAATTGACGCTTCAAGTTGGATATATCAATTTTCAGTGGCTGTGGTCAAAGTCTCATTACAAATGCTTTGAAGCATTTGATGGACCAAGAAGAAAGAATTTTATAAACTGACCAATTAAATAACGCTTCAAAGCTTTTGCGGCATCGCGTTGATCGTACTCAGTGTCAGACGAAGGCTATGTCCGGCTATGCTCAATTTGATGTTACGAATGTCTCAAAGCATTTTTGATTGGTCAGGTAAAATTCTTTTTTCCGATTGGTTAAGTAAAAGTTTCGAAGCATTTATTGTAGCATCAAGTGGATGCACCCAAAATCAGACACTAGCGATAAAATTAATACCACACACACGCTGCTTTTCAACGTCTTATGAAAGCATCAAGTTCGACAATTAAGCGGGAAGCACAGATTTTTGCATAACGCATAATACATAAG